GTTGCCTCTCCTGCATCGGGGCCCATGCAGGGCTGTGGGACACACAGATGAAACAGACCCTGTCCCTGCCCTCAGAGGTGTTGCAGTTGAGAAAGAGACAGACACGCATATAGACAGTTACATCAGAGTGTGGTCTGTGCTGTGAGTGAAGGAATTCCCAAGAACAAGGTGGGGGTCAGGCTTCCCAAAGGAGATGATGCACAAGCCCATCCCTGGAGCACAGGCAGGCCATTCCCGGCACAGTGAACTGAACTGGCAAAGGAGGGTTTCAGTGGGACTCATTCAGAGCGTATCGTATACTCCTGGCACAGGGCTAAGCTGGCTTCTGCCACTCTCTGACCTAAAGCCTCAGCTTCTCTATCTAGCCTATGAAAGGATGTATTCAGAAATTACACAGTTATTTCCATCATCTTTCATTTATTAAAAAGAAGTCACGATGTTCAGCCTATACTCAAGGGCAGGGGAATTAAGCGCCACTCCTTGAATGGAAGAGTAGTATCAAAGAGTTTTAAAATGACCATAGTCCACCTACTGGCCACAAAGTACTGACGTCCTTCCACATGCAAAATACATTCACCCTCCAAACATTCACCCTCAAAACCTTATCCCACCGCAGAATCAGCTCAATGTTCAGAATCTCTGCATCTAAATCAGGCCTCGATGTGGATGAAGCACCTGGGGTATTATTTCAAGTGTAGCTCCTTGACTACGGTTGCTCTCAATCTAGACTTTGGAAATTCCAGAGACAAATTAACTGCCCTTCACCCCTGCACCCACCTGATATAAACTGATGGGACAGGCATAGGATAACCACCACAGACATTCCTCTTCAAAGGGGACAAGGATGGGAAGTGTGCAGGTCACTAGTCCACAGCAATTCTGAAATCCTCCTGGGCAGATGCTGAAAGTTCCTTGATTCTGACTCTGACCCCAGAATGATTCTCCATGCTCTTGGCTCCACCCTTTGGGTTCTTTGTTCTGTTCCCCAAGTTATCCCTTCTTTTCCAAGAAATGCAGCCCAGGTTCATATCTGTGCAGTTTCTCAGCTTTCTTCCTCCCAGAATTTGGGGGGGTCTAGAGGTTTCTTCATTTTTAAAAAATGTATATTTTATTGCATTTTAGGTTTTGAGGTACATGTGAAGAACATATATGATTGTTGCATAGGTACATAGATGGAAATGTGGTTTGCTGACTTCCTCCCCATCACCTATATCTGGCATTTCTCCCCATGTTATCCCTCCCCAACTCCCCACCCGCCACTGTCCCTCCCTTAGTTCCCCGCCACAGACCTCAGTGTGTGATGCTCCCCTCCCTGTGTCCATGTGTTCTCATTGTTCAATACCTGTCTATGAATGAGAACATGCAGTGTTTCATTTTCTGTTCTTGTGTCAGTTTGCTGAGAATGATGGTTTCCAGGTTTATCCATGTCCCTACAAAGGACATGAATTCATTGTTTCTTATGGCTGCGTAGTATTCCATAGTATATATGTGCCACATTTTCCCTGTCTAGTCTGTCATCAATAGGCATTTGGGTTGGTTCCAAATCTTTGCTATTGTAAACAGTGCTGCAATGAACATTCGTCTGCCTGTGTCCTTATAATAGAATGATTTATAATCCTTTGGATATATACCCAGTAATGGGATTGCTGGGTCAAATGGAATTTCTATTTCTAGGTCCTTGAGGAATCGCCACACTGTCTTCCACAATGGTTGAACTAATTTACACTCCCACCAACAGTGTAAGAGTGTTCCTATTTCTCCACATCCTCTCCAGCATCTGTTGTCTCCAGATTTTTTAATGATCACCATTCTAACTGGTGTGAGATGGTATCTCAATGTAGTTTTGATCTGTATTTCTCTAATGACTGGTGGTTATAAGCATTTTTTCATATGTTTGTTGGACCCATGTATGTCTTCTTTTGTAAAGTATCTGTTCATATCCTTTGCCCACTTTTGAATGGGCTTGTTTTTTTCTTATAAATCTGTTTTAGATCTTTGTAGATTCTGGATATCAGCCCTTTGTCTGATGGGTAGATTGCAAAAATTTATTCCCATTCTGTTGGTTGCCGATTCACTCTAATGATTGTTTCTTTTGCTGTGCAGAAGCTCTGGAGTTTAATTAGGTCCCATTTGTCTATTTTGGCTTTTGTTGCCAATAAGATATCTTCATTTTATATTGTCTCTGACCCTTTCAGTGCAAGTCTACATTGTTTTGCTAATACAATTCTTTTAAAAATGTTGTGTCTTCTGTAGATCTCACTGAGGTTCATGCCTTTAGACAACTGTCAAACCCACACATCTCTTTGAGAAAAACCTGTCTCTCCCTTGAGGTTCTGCTGAGACTTCTGTCAAGGACAACTGTAAGTGTCTTAGAAATCTTACTGTTTAACCAAATATTCTGAGGTGTCCCTTTGATCTCTTTGAAGATTTTATAGCCATGATGTCATATCCACACCCTTGGCTTCATTTTTAGGCCCTCTTCCTGGCTTGATGCTGCATTTGCTCTTTGCCTGGAAGCCGTGTATTAGTTTTAGCATCATATGACATCTGGAGAAGCCGGGCATTTTTACAACCCAAGGTCTGGTTCCTTTTTATTTAACAATTTTTCTTTTGACTTATGTCCCTCTCTCACATTTTAGTATAAGCAGCATGAAGAAGCCAGGAGGCAGCACCTTCAATAATCTCCATAACCAAATATCCCAGTTTCTCTGGTACATTTACTATTTTCCACATGATTTCAGGACACTTTCTGTTTCAACCTCCCTCCTCTCCTGCTTCATACCTCTTAAGAGTATGGATTCCTCTCTGATTTCCTAATACTTCTTTTTGGGATGTCCAGCCTCCAAGCCATTGTTTCCGTGGTTCCTGTTGCTCATCTGCCTTCTCTATTTGAGCTCCCAAGTTCAGAACACACCACTTTCCCATGCAGGCACCTGACACTCGGCCAGTTATCCTGCAGATTGCATGCCCTTCCACACACCAGGCGTGCATTTGGCCCTGGGGACTTCCCGGGAGAATAAGCTAGTTTTTCATGATCCAGAGGGAGAGACATGTTAATCTAGTAATCCCAGAAGCAGTGATAACATTGCAGTTGAAGGCCAGGTGCAGTGGCTCGCACTTGTAATCCCAGCACTTTGGGAGACTGAGGTGAGCAGATCACCTGACGTCAAGAGTTCAAGACCAGCCTGGCCAACATGGTGAAACCCTGTCTTCACTAAATATATAAAAATTAGCCAGGCATGGTGGTACATGCCTGTAATCCCAGCTACTCTGGAGGCTAAGGCAGGAGAATTGCTTGAATCTGGGAGGCAGAGGTTGCAGTGAGCTGAGATTGCACCATTGCACTACAGCCTGGGCGACAGAGCGAGATTCTACTTCAAAAAAAAAAAAAAAGAAAAGAAAATTTGCAGTTGAGAAAGGTTCATGAAGAAAAACTACAGACCTCTCTGGATCACACAATGGAAGAATCTGTCCCAGTAAGGCTGCAGTTAGGGAAAGCTTCCCTGAAGTCATGGCATTTTAGTAGGAACTTCCTGAAGAACTGGTGGGGTTCTCTGAAGAAAGATGAACAGCATGTGGAAACTTTGAGTTGAGAAGATCCACAGATATGAGGGACAGCAGGGAGACCTGCAGGCTGTAGACTAAAGAACAAGTGGCTGAAAACAGGCAAGGTGGATCAGCAGGGACAGGCCACCTCAATCCTCGGTGCCCATACTGGCTTATGTGAGCAAAATACATGCATTAAGCTATTCAACAAACATTCATTTAGCAACGACTACAAGCCATCAGTGTGTACCGGGAATATAACAGGCAATACATCTCACAAATTTCCTGTCTTCAAAGAGCTTACAGTCTAGTGGGAAAGACAGATAATGAACAAAGAAACAAGGAAATATTAGATACACAGTAGGTGCTGTGAAGAAAATAGAACGGGGTGATATGACAGGGAGTGACTGAGGGACTTCCTTAGTTTGTGTGAACTGGAACAGCCTCTCTAAGGCTCTGATATTTCATATGATAAGGGAGCGAGCTCTGAAAGAACCCTGGAGGCAGACAGGTAAATGCAGGGGCCGCAGCAAGACTGTTGTGCTCAGGCACTGAGCAGAGGGCCAGGTGGCTGGGGCTCAGCAAGAGGGATACCTCAAAAGAAGTGAGGCTTAGCAGGGCACAGAGCAGTGCAATCGCAGGTTTGGGGGGGAAGGGCATTCCAGGAGAAGGAGCCGCCTGGGCACAGGCTTGCAGTCAAGAAACAATACGCAGTTACCACTCGCAGCATTCTACAGGGCCCTGCCTGAGGTGGGGCTGGCCAGGATCCCCGGAAAGCCGGGGAGGGGTCTGCGGCACCTGGGCTGGGTGGAAGGGAGAGCGGAGAAGGGGAGTTGCAGAGGCGGGTAGGCACTGGGCGGGCGGGAGCGCCACTGTACAACCCAGATGTGCAGCTGCTGTCTAAGGGGCCGTCTCTCCAGGGGGCTGCAAATTCCCGGCGGGCAGCGCCTCATTTGACTCTGCTGTGTCGGTAGCACATGACAGGTACTTGGCCCATCAAGAGAGTGAGTGAGTGAGTGAGTGAGCCACTTCTGACCCACTTAGCCTTGCCAGTGCTCAGAACTGCCAGCCTTGCTGGGTGCTTGGGCCTTTTCAAAGCCCTGGGAATTCTCCAAGGGTCCACAGCAAGTGTTCTTGATCTTTGTGGGACTGTACAAGCCCCTGCGGGGTAGGCGCTTACACAACATTTATAGGCCCGCCCAGGAGAGGCTGCGCGGCGGCCCCGCCACAGTCCCACCGCCAGTGAGCGCCGCTCCCACCCACCCGGCTGACTCTCCGCCCGCCCCGGGCCCTTCCCCTCGCGGGCTCCATCCTTAACTAGAGCTCTGACGGGCGGGGACCGGTCCCACCTCCTGGCTGCCAGAGGGGGTCTGCACCATCCCCAGTTTCGGGGCTGCGGCTCACAGAGGTCCAGCCTGCCGGGACACCTGCACCTTCTCCAGCACACGGTGAGTTTCTGCGCTCCCGAGAGCGCAGGACGCCCCTCGGAAGGGAGGCTGCCCCGGCTGCTGCGACTCCCGGGGCTCCGGAGGGCTGCAGAACTCGGTTCCCACCGCAAGAGCTCCTGCGGGGCCGGGGAACATCGCTGCTGGGACGCCGGGCTCGGGGTACGGGTCCGGAGTTCTTTGGAGCAATCGAGCCTGAACCTGCCCAGGGGTCATCAGGCTAAAGCACCACAACCTGGACTGGCCCGCCGAGAATGTGGCTGGCCGCGGTGGTAGGGCCCTTACGGAGCCGGCGCCGTCCTGTGGGGTGGGCACTGCTGGCCCGGCTTATGGAAGAGAAAACTGAGGCTTAATAAGAAAAAGGGGCCAGCGGAAGGTGATGCCATGATTTGTGGCTGGAGACTACTTGTTTCCTGGACCCCTCAACCCCATTCTGTGATAGGGAAAGGTCTTCCCTGATTAGCCAAATCGGGGTTGGCACGAGGGTCTTTTGTGATTGGAGGGGTCCACGTGAGCGCTCAGAGGCTGTGCTGGAGTCTCAGCTCCTGCCACTGCGCTCCGGTGGGCAATTGCATACAGAGGGAGGCCAGATAGCAGACCCCACAACGTGGCTCCTGGGACCCCACTATAGAGAGCTCAGGCCCCGCAGGCACCTGCCTACCAGAGGAAAAGAATCTTCCCAAAGTGCAGACTGAGACGGAATTTAATCAGTAGTCCCAGACTTGGAGTTTGGAGACTTGGGCTCTGGTGTCAGGTGACTTTGCTTCCTCCCCAAGCCTCCACTTCTCCTTGACCTTGGGCAAGTTTCTTGTATTCTGAATCTTAGTTTCTTGTCTCTAAAATCCGGAGGGACAATAAACAGTAGTGTCTGCCTCCCAAGGTTGCTTTAGAATTACATGAGACTGCCCTAGGAAACCCTCGAAGAATGTTAACTTCTTCCTTCCTTTCTCTCTCTCTCTCTCTCTCTCTCTCTCTCTCTCTCTCTCTCTTTCGATTTCTTTCTTTTTGACGGAGTCTGGCTCTCTCACCAGGCTGGAGTATAGCTGCGGGATCTTGGCTCACTGCAACCTCCACCTTGCGGGTTCAAGTGATTCTCCTGCCTCAGCCTCCCCAGTAGCTGGGACTACAGGCCAGCGCCACCACACCCAGCTAATTTTTGTATTTTTAGTAGAGGCAGGGTTTCCCCGTGTTGACCAGGGTGGTCTCAGTCTCTTGGCCTTGTGATCTGTCTGCCTCGGCCTCCCAAAGTGCTGGGATTACAGGCATGAGCCACCACACCCAGCTGGCTGCTGTGTTCTTGCTAGCATTAACTCTCATGGTCATGGGGGAAGACAACGGTATGGTGTCCCTTATAGAGACAAGGAGACTGAGGCTCAGAGATGGATTTACCCAAGGTTGGCCTGAGGCCTAAGATCCAGAGGGCCAGGTCTCTGGACGTGGCCTGTTCCCTGTTTAGAGGGCTGTGGGAGAGAAAGTGGGTAAAGCATGACCCCCAAGGGACAAAGTGGCCTCCTGCCTAGTGCCAGACCAAAAAGGCTGAGTACAGGAGAGGAGTTGGCGTTGGGCCCTCCAAAGGGCAGTGGGAGGTTTGAGACACTCTGGACTGCTGCTAGAGCTGTGTTCTTGGGTCCCAGGGCCCCAGCACCCGAACAGACAGCTCAGAGCTGCAGTCCTGCAGGGTAGCCCAGCCCTACAGGGCCTAGAAGCTGGGTCCTTCCAGGCCTGGGCTGGGAATTGGGTAGGAGGGTTGGGAGGCCCAGGAAGCCTCCCAGTGTCCTCGCACCACCAAGTGAAAAGACACTGAGCAGCAATGACTGGGGAAGGAGGGAGAGGCCTGGAGGCCATGCATATGACCCACAAGGGGCTCTATGGGCTCTTCCCAGCCCCTCTGCCTCACTGGCCTTGGTCTTTCTGGGACCAAAGGCCAAGCCTGACTGAGGCCCTCCCAAGGCTCCTGTGCCTAACATGCTCACTTTCCCTGGACTGTGACAACGGCCCCTTGGTGGCCACCTGGACTCTGTCTCCCTGCAGCCAAAGGCGGCGGGGAGGTACCCTTTAATTTTTTTTTACAAGTAATCATGTACAATATGAAAAAGAACATTCTGATAAGAAAACAAAATAATTACAGTTGTCAAAACACTCTGAAACCCAAAACCTTTTACCCAGTGACTTTCAACATTTCAGTGTAAACTCTTCCAGGCTTTTACCCTGTGGGTAAACACACACACGTGAGCGCTCACACACACACACACACACACACACTTAAGCTCTACAAAATTATAGTGGTATGTTACTTGTTGGGGTGTTTTGACAGTGTCAGGTTTGTAAAACCCAGTATTTACCAATATTTTCTAATAATTTAATGTTTTCTTCTTATATTTGACTTTCAAATGCTCATTTTAAAACCAACTGGACTGTATTTTGGAGTAAGATGTATACTAGAGAGTTCGATTTGTTTCAATTAATAGACATTTTTGAGCAGTTTTAGGTTTATAGAAAAATTGAGGGCAAAGTGCAGAGTTCCATATTCTTAGTCTGTCCCTCCCTCCATACTTTCTCCTATTTTTCTTTCTATTCTTTTCCTTTCTTTTTTTTCTTTCTGCCTTTTTGAGACAGGGTCTCACTTTGTTGCTCCAGCTGCAGTGCAGTAGCACAAACACAGCTCACTGCAGCATTGAACTCCTGGACTCAAGTGATTCTCATGCCTCAGCCTCCCAAGTAGCTGGAACTACAGGCATGTACAACCATGCCACACTAATTTAAAAATTTTTTTTGTAGAGATGGGTCTCCCTTTGTTGCCCAGGCTGGTCTTGAACTCCTGGGCTCAAGTGATCCTCTTGCCTTGGCCTCCCAAAGTGCTGGCACTACAGGCATGAACCACTAGGCCCGGCCTCCCCCATTATTAACATTGTGCATTGATATATTTTTGTTATACCTTTTTTTAAAAAACAGTCTTGGCTGGGCGCGGTGGCTCAAGCCTGTAATTCCAGCACTTTGGGAGGCCGAGGTGGGTGATCACGAGGTCAAGAGATTGAGACGATCCTGGTCAACATGGTGAAACCCCGTCTCTACTAAAAATACAAAAAATTAGCTGGGCATGGTGGCACATGCCTGTAATCCCAGCTACTCAGGAGGCTGAGGCAGGAGAATTGCCTGAACCCAGGAGGCGGAGGTTGCGGTGAGCCGAGATCTCGACATTGCACTCCAGCCTGGGTAACAAGAGTGAAACTCCATCTCAAAAACAAAAACAAAAAAACAGTCTTGCTCTGTTGCCCAGGCAGGAGTACAGTGGCATAATCTCAGCTCAGTGCCGTCTCTGCCTCCCAGATTCAAGCAATTCTTGTGCCTCAGCCTCTTGAGTAGCTGGGATTACAGGTGCATGACCATGCCCAGCTAATTATTGTACTTTAATAATAGTAGAGACAGGGTTTTACCATGTTGGCCAGGCTGGATTTGAACGCCTGGCCTCAAGTGATCAGCCTGCCTTGGCCTCCCAAAGTTCTGGGATTACAGGCGTGACCCACCATGCCTGGCCAATTTTGTTATACTTGATGACCCAATATTGATACAATATTATTAATGAAAGTCCCTAGTTTACATTAGAATTTCCTCTTAGTGTTGTACATTCTATGGTTTTCATAGAGAATAATTTTACTGACCTGAAACTCTCCTGTGCTCTACCCATCCATCCCCTAGCCCTCCCCGCCCAACCCTATCCCTGGCAACCACTGCTTTCTGTCTTTGTAGTTTTGTCTTTTCCAGAATGTCATAGAGTATGTATGAATCATATGTTATGTAGCCTTTCCAGACTGGCTTCTTTCACTTAGCAAAATGCATTTAAGCATCCTCCATGTCTTTTTGTGGTTTGATAACTCATTTCTTTTTGTAACTGAGTACTCCTCCGTTGTATGGATGTGAATGCACCACAGTTTATTTCTGCATTCACCTGCTAAAGGATATCTTGATTACTTCCAAGTTTTAGTAGTGAATAAAGCTGCTATCCATATTTGTGTGCAGGTTTTTGTGTGGACGTTAGTTTTCTTCTCATTTGGGAAAATATCAAGAGCGATTGATGGATCATATGGTAAAAGTATGTTTCATGTTATAAGAAACTACCAAACCTTTTTCCATAATGGTGGCATCATTTTTCATTTCTACCAGTAATAAATGAAGTTCCTGCTGCTACGTAGCCTCATCAGCATTTGTCAGTGCTCTGAATTTAACCCTTCTAATATGTGTATAGCAGTATCTCATATTTTACACATATTAGAATTTTTACATTTTAATTTGCAATCTGTAATGACTTATAGTTGAGCATCTTTTTAAATGCTTATCTACCATCTGTATATCTTCTTTAGTGAGGTGTCTGTTAATATACTTTGCCCATTTTTTAATTGGGTTTTTTTGTTTTTTTTTTTTTGAGACAGAGTTTCCCTCTTGTAACCAAGGCTGGAGTGCAATGGCGCGATCTCAGCTCACCGCAACCTCTGCCTCCTGGGTTCAGGCAATTCTCCTGCCTCAGCCTCCCGAGTAGCTGGGATTACAGGCACGCGCCACCATGCCCAGCTAATTTTTTGTATTTTTAGTAGAGACGGGGTTTCACCATGTTGACCAGGATCGTCTCAATCTCTTGACCTCGTGATCACCCACCTCGGCCTCCCAAAGTGCTGGAATTACAGGCTTGAGCCACCACGCCCAGCCTGGGTTGTTTTAAAATGTATTAAAACTGTTGAGTTCTAATAGTTCTTTGTATATTTTGGATAACAGTCCTTTATCAGATATGTCTCTTCTCCCCAACCATGGCTTGTCTTTTCATTCTCTTAACAGTGTCTTTTGCAGAGCATACATTTTTAATTTTAATAAAGTCTAATGTAGCCTTTTTTCCTCCATAAATTGTGCTTTTATTGTTGTATCTAAAAAGTCAAATCTAAATTTTGGCAGTTACAAATAAAGATGCTGTAAACATCAGTGTACAGATTTTTGTTTGATTTTTGTGCAATGTAGATTTTCTCCATTGTCTTACCTTTGTCCTTTTGTCAAAGATCAGTTGACTGTATTGATGTGTGTTTACTTCTGGGCTCCCTATTCTGTTCCATAGATCTACTTGACTATTCTTTTTCCAATACAATACTGTCTTGATTACTCTAGCTTTATAGTAGTCTTGGGGACAGGTCGTATCAGTCCTCTAGCTGTTCTTCAATGTTGTGTTGGCTATTCCAGGTCTTTTATCTCTCCACATAAACTTGAGAATCAGTTTGTTGATATCCACAAATAACTGCTGGGGTTTTGATTGGGATTGCATTGAATCTATAGATAAAGTTGGAAATAACTGACATCTGAACAGTATTGAGTTTCCCTATCCATGAACATGGAATATCTCTTCATTTCTTTATATATATTTTTAATTTTTTCATTAGTTATGGTTATTCTCACATATATCTTGACACATTTTAGATTTATATATAAGTAATTCACTTTTCCATGCTAATATAAATGGTCTTGTGTTTTTAATCTCAAATTCCAATTGTGTATTGCTAGTATATAAGAAAGTAATTGATTTTTGTATATTAACCATAACTTTACATCCAGCAACTTTGGTAGAATAACTTATTATCTCCAGTTTTCTGTTGCTTTACTGACATTTTTCACATAGCCCATTATGTTTTTTGAGAACAAGGACAGTTTATTTCTTCCTTCCCAATCTATACACTTTTCATTTTCTTTTCTTCTCTAATTACATTAGCCAGGACTTCCAGTATAATGTTGAATAGGAAGGGTGAAAGGAAACATCCTTGCCTTATTTCTGATCTTAGGGGGAAAGCTTCTAGTATCCCTCTATTAACTATGATGTCAGCTGTAGGTTTTTCATACGTCTTCTTTATCAGGTTAAGTACCCATTTATTACTAGTTTGCTGAACGTTCTTATCATAAATTTCTTACATTTTGCCAGGTCTGTCCCAGACCCTGGCTGATGGATGAAATGAGTACTCAGACACAGGCATACACTGTAAGAGCAGCTGGGTGACTGCCTGGCTCTAGTGGCCAGCGTGCAGCCCTGAGAGGTTGGAGCAGCTTGCTTTTATTGAGTGCAGGCACAATGCTGAAAGCCTGAAGCAATACACAATCTGTATATGGTTAACATTCATTGTTCCTTCTTTTAGAGAATTGCCAAATATCTGTATGCAGATATTCTAAAGGTTGTTTCTGGACAACGTAAGTACACAAGCCTATTTAAGGTAAATTCCCCTTCACTCCCTTGCACATACTCCTTGCCCTCTGCCTCAGAGTCATAGAAAAGCTGCCATCAGCTATTCTCTCCTGGAGCTTTGCAGAGCCTTTTGGACCTTTCAGAAGGCCTGCTCCTTTTCCATATAGCTTCTCCCACCACTCTGGCTGATATCCTACATCCCTCCCTTTTCCGTTTTTTTGCATCAGGTTTTGCTGATTGAAGGGTACAGATGTGTGCAGCAACAGGCTTGACAGGTGCAGTGGTTACAGCTTGTGTTCTGGCTTTGCATCCTAGAACCAGTAAATAACATAAGACAAACATGAATGTAATTAGTAATAATCTCTTCCAATCAAGAAGTGACCCCCAGAAGTGGGGATCTATCCAGGAGAGATGTTCTTGTGCATCTTTCCATATGGTTGCTTGTTGGGCATGCTGATTGATGGCATTTAGGGATTCTTGAATTTTAGTTTTAAGATGCTTTATGTCTGCTGTTAAATTACCATGTAGAGTTTCCCAGAGGTGTTGTTTCACCTTATCCTAACTATGTATTGATTGATTTTATGGTAAGGAGGTGACACAAATATGTTTATGCTCCCACTTGGAGTTTAATTGCTGTTGGAATGCCAGCGCATCCTGTCAGTCCCCAAGATAGTCTATAGCAGCCTCAAGAGCTTGTAGGTGTGCAAGAGCCATAATTGGTTTGGGCAGGTACATATCAGTGTTAAAGCTGCTATAACTGACACACAGTGGGAGAACTGTGGAGTGGTATGTAGTGTTACTTGGCATCTCAGTCCAATGTATGCCATTACTAAGGAACCCCATTGTGGGTATGTCAGCCCCTCCCAGCCAAGCAGTTATGTTATTAGAGTCTGGGAAAAGAGTGTCTGCCCAAGTAACAGGGCGAAAGAAGGGCCAATCTAGAAGATGGGCCCAATAGAGTGTGGCATATATGGGTTGCAGGTGGAGTGAGAAAACAAGAAAAATTAATACCCTACAAGCATTGCAATGTACAACAGAAAGCATAGCAAGGAACAAATTACCTGGAGTGAATGGTGTCTGTGTCCTGAGCAGGATTCATTCAGCCTCCTAATTTGTATTTTTCAGCATCCCCCTCCATGCAATGTCTGGGGCCTGTGTCATCCGAGGAAGCTGTATTGTTGAGGGTTGCAGGTCTTGCAGGGTCATTTTCTTCATTTCTAGTATGGGGTCGTGTGTCCCAGCCACACCATAGTAAGGTTTGATGCCTTGTGCTGGAATCTAAAGGGGACTTGAGGGAGTGCAAACACAGTGTATCCTCTCCCCCATGTTAGCAGGTCATTTGGACCACACTGTATATTACTATTTACATCTTTCCATAAAAACCGCATGTTTTATGTCTTGAGGGGCTTTTGCAAAGTGTTTTTCTGTGGATGATTAAAATTTATAGTCTAAATTTTTTTAATTAAGGGTAAATAAAGCTTGTGCTAGTAGTGTTGCAGGGTCCTTACTCATATTCCCCCCTCTTTTTTTTGTTTCCTGAGCGTATTTTTAATGGTGAAGTGGGCATGTTCCACTATGGCCTGTCTTTGGAGGTTGTACGGGATACCTGTGCAATGTTGGATGTTCCGTGTCTAACAAAATTGATGAAGTTGTGAGCTGGTGTAAGCCGGACCATTATCAGCTGTAATCTTTGTGGGCCGTCCCATAAATGCAAAGGTTAAGATAAGATGTTTAATGGCATATCGGGCAGACTCTCCAGGGAGAGCATGAGTGCTAATTATGTGGGAATTGGTATCAATGGATACATGTACATATCTTAGTTTTCCAAACTCAGGGATGTTTTTAACATCTGTTTGCCATAACTGATTAGGCTCCAGTCCCTTAGGGATAATGCCTGTTGAGGGAGGAGACATACCTGTGAGCTGGCAATCTGGGCATTGCAGGATAATTTGCTTAGCTAGTCTTTGAGTAAGCTGAAATTGTTTAGATAAATTTCTCTAATTCTGGTGGAAAAATTGATGTGACTGTGTAGCTTGGTCAAGTAGTGATGTCATGACCTATAAGTCTGCTTGATTATTGCCATGAGCCAGTGGGGCCAGGCTGCGAGCTGTGGGCCCAAATGTGTGTGATATAAGCAGGATATGTTCATTGATCCAGCAATTGCTTAAATGGAAGAAAAAGGACACACAGGGTGGGCTCAAGAGTGGACTTAATGAGGGCTGTTTCAAGGTTTTGCAATAAATAAACGGAGTAAGCAGAGTCACTAACGATATTGACAAGCTGAGCAGAAATTGTTTCCGGGCCAATATTAGGGCTTCAACCTCCGCTCTCTGAGTACTAGTAAATCCAGATCAGGTGAGGGAGTTATGTGGCTCCCACCAGATGCTGCTTTTCCATTTTTACCAGACCTACAAGTGAAAAGCGTTAAGGCATTAGGTATAGGGGAGTAGACTACCTTTGTAGGCATAACCACAGAAGTATGAGGTAATAATGGGAATAGTTTATCAGCGGGAAGGGCATGTTCTAAGATGGCCCATATAACCAGAGAGTGCTACCTGAAGATAAGGTCAGGACTGCTTTGATTTTTTTAATTTAAAGGTATTCTTACTAGATAGCAGGGTTGTAACCTTGCAATTGATTACACTGTTTACAGCCTACAAAAATGACTTGAATAACTAGCTGGATATAGGGAGACAGTGTTCTAGTCCCAGTATGTGAGCAAAAAACCCATGGGGTCATCTGTCCTATTAATCCTGTTGGGGAATGTTTAGTAGGAAATACAAATAATTGAACTGAATATTGTGGGTATCAAATATCTATTCGATCTAGTTGCCTCTGGGAAATAGCCTGTTCTATTTCTTCAATTTCCCTTTTTGCAGCCGGGGTTAAATCCCTGGGGCAGTCCAGGGCTGCATTGCCCTTTAGGATAGAGAACAGATTCTGTAATTTGTTAGTAGTTATGCCAAAGATGGGGTGAAGCCAGTGAATATCACCCAATATTTTTTGATAATCATTAAGATGTGTAAGTTGTCAATGTTTAATTTAACCTTCTGAGGTCTTACTGACCAAGATGTTAGTATGTATCCAAGATACTTCCAAGGGGAGGACATCTGTACCTTTTCAGGTGCTACAATTAAGCCTTTTAACAGAGGCATATAAACTCAGAAGTATTAGCTCTGTTGGAACTGCCAGTAAGATGTCATCCATGTAGTGGATGATTTTACAATTGGGGAATTCACTTCTACTAGGGAGCAGAGCCTGATGCATGTGATACTGACACAAGGTAGGACTGTTTAACATTCCTTGAGGGAGCACCTCCCAATGAAACTGGCGAGCTGGCCTTTCATTATTGATAGCTGGTACTGTAAATGCAAATTTTTCTCTGTCCTGTTCTGCAAGGGGAATAATGGAAAAGCAGTCTTTTAAGTCAATAATGACTATAGGCCAATCTCAAGAAATTGCCACAAAAAAGGGAGCCCCTGTTGAAAGGGCCCCAAAGATTGCAGATTAGCATTGATAGCATATAAGTCATGCAAATGTCTCCATTTGCCAGACTTTTTGGGAATGACAAAAGTGGGTGAATTCCATGGGCTGTTTGATTGTTCTGTATGTCTGGCTTTCAATTGTTCCTCAACTAATTCATGAGCTCATTGTAATTGCTCTCCCTTTAAAGGCCACTGTTCTACCCGGAGTGGATCTTGAAGTAACCATGTTAGGGGTAGTGGAGGAACCTCAACAGTAGCCATTAATAGAAAGAGGT